GATCCCAAAGACCAGTATTTAGGGTCCCGCGGCCCGAGCTTAAAACATGTTCTCTCTTGCACGCCGGGTCGAGGAAGTGCGTTGAATCCTATACCCTAAACCCCTACCAATTCCCTCTTTCGAGGCTTCAAGTAAAAACTGAAGACATAGTTAGGGTTTAGTAATGTATGTTTTATACACCCACTCCTAACCCATTACGTCAAGAAGACAAAGCGTCACGCGTTTGAACAGTTTTTGGCACAAGAAGCCACCCCTCGCCCCCCAAAGGTCTTACGCATGAACACCAACCCCCCCCCCCCCCGGAAGGAACGATAACTGGTTTAGGGCTTAAGGAGAAAACTTATAGACACTACACCCTACGCCCGGCTAAAGGGTTCTATAGAGGGTCCATAACTTACTTCTCGACCAATTGTCGAACCCTTTGTTTCGATGCTTTAAACCCTCCCTAACCCTAAGCCCTACAAACCCTAAACCCTCCCAGCCCTAAACCCTAAACCCTAAACCCTAAACCTTAAACCCCAGAACCAACCCCCTTTCCCCCCCACGCCTCCTGACTTGAAGGTCCTGCGCTCTAAGGTTTCGGCTCAGGGGCTTAGACCAGAACTGGTACTCAAGAACATGCCGTGGGTTTAGGGTTTAGGGTTTAGGGTTTAGGGGTTTAGGGTTTAGGGGTTTAGGGGTCCAGGGTTTAGGGTGTTCAGGGTTTCTAGGATTTATGGGTTTATAGGGATTATCTTAATCCCAGATAGCCGACCTGTTTAAGGACTTAGATAAAAAAAATCATACTGAGGAGCCCTAAAATGGTAGGTTCTTTCGAGTCCAGGTAGGGGTTGATGGTTTAGGGGTGAACTAGAACGGTTTTGGCGTTAGGGTAGAGGGTTGTATAAAGGCGGGAGTAGGGTCTTTAAGACGCTGTATAAGTTAAGGTTTCGTAGTGCTGGATTGGGTATGGAAACGTACAAGGTTATGGTAGAAGCCCAAAAGTTGGAAACCCAATAGCCTCAATCCTCAAGAGCTATGCGTAGGGGATCCCAGCACTATTTGTCTTTAATCCGATTTCCAACTTTTTGGGGCTCGCTGTAGGTTGCAGGGTTTACGGGAACAGGTTTCCGGTTTGATTTGGGCCTCGGGTTCGGGTAGTGGTGCTGGCAGTATGGCTGTGGGTTTAGGGGTTTGGGGGGTTAGGGGTTTAGGGTTTAGGGGAGAACACTGGCAGCGCACTTACCGATATGACTGTTGGTTTTGGTTTCCTGCTGTGTTCTAGAGCCCCAGGCCTAAACTCCTAAACCCTAAACCCTAAATCCCAAGACACTAAACCCTAAACCCCAAGACCCCTAAACCCTAAACCCTAAATCCTAAGACACTGCACCCCAAACCCCAAGACACCCAACCCGCGGTGCAGTGTTTATTCAGGGACAATAGGAGGGACCCCTAGAAGGGACCCCTAATCCAAGGTTTAGGGTTTAGGGTTTAGGGTTTTATATACCCCTGATATAGTCTCAGAAAGCCCCTGCCCTATCTAGCCCCAAGGGTCCCTGTAAGGGTCCCTCCTGTAGTCCCTTGATTTTAGGCCAAAGGATGTCGACGTCGACCTGAAACCCTAAACCCTACGAGAAACAAACCCTGGCCCTGAATACTACACCAGAATTAAACAGCTGCAAGCCCTTGATATAGGGTTTATGTAGGGTTCCTTTAAAGGGATCCTTATAAAGGGTTCTATAAGGGATCTATAATAAAGTTCTAGATAAGGGGCCTTAATAATTAGAATAGGGTTTGGGAGGAAACTTATACTCAAGTTATGATAAGGACCCCCCACAAAAACAAAAAAAAGCAACAACAAGTAATAAGTTAGGCCCCTATATTCATTGTAAAAAGCTGTAAAGCCTTAGCCTAGAAAAAGGAGAGGCTAGCCCTTGAACCCAAAGCCCAAACCCTTGTAAGCCCTAAACCCTAAGCCCGAAGCCCTAGAAGCCCTAGAAGCCCTAGAAGCCCTAAACCCTAATCCCTAAACCCTAAACCCTAAACCCTAAACCGTAAACCCTAGTCAGCGCTCCTCGCCACCAAGTCCATGGGAGCTGCCAAGGCTCTGGATTCCTCGTGCCAGGCTGTGAGGTGGTTGAGGCTTGGGGTTTAGGGGTTTAGGGGTTCCTTTAAGGGATCTCTCAGGGTTCCTTTAAGGGATCTATAAGGGTTCCTTTAAGGGATCTATAAGGGCTCCTTTAAGGGTTCCTTCAAGGGTTCCATAAGGGTACTAT